CCGTAAAAAATTTCTTTTAAAAAAAAAAAAATAAAATCGTTTTTTTTTTTTTTTTTTTTTTTACTTTTTATTTATCATAGAATCCTAAAACAAACAAACAAAAAAAACAGTTAAGCAGCAAATCAGCATATTAGAAATATTTCTTAAGTATCATGTGGCACTGAAGACTAAAGAAATAAATGCTGCTGAAAAGTCAGCTTTGCCATCTTAGGTATATTTTGTGCATAATGTCTATTTTGTAAAAAGAAAGAGCGAATGAATATCTGCTACAATTGTATGCAAAATTAAAAAAAAATCTTTACATTTTAGGGTGAAATATGACCCATATATGTGACCCTGGACCACAAAACCAGTCTTAAGTCGCTTGGGTATATTTTTAGCAATAGCCAAAAAATCATTGTATGGGTCAAAATTATAAAATTTATGCCACAAATCGTTAGGATATTAAGTAAAGATCATGTTCCATGAAGATATTTCGTAAATTTCCTAACGTAAATATATCAACTTAATTTTTGATTAGTAATATGCATTGCTAAGAACTTCATTTGGACAGTTTTGGATTTTTTTTGCACCCTCAGATTCCAGATTTCCAAATAGTTGTATCTCGGACAAATATTGTCCTATCCTAATAAATCATACATCAATGGAAAACTTATTTATTCAGCTTTCAGATGGTGTATAAATCTCAATTTATGTGATGTGCTGTTTACTATGATTGTGTCTAGTGTCTTCTTGAATTGATTTTTTTTCTTTTTTCAGCCTGCATTTGGCCCCTGTGTCTTCTCAGAGAGGAAGCCCAGACAGCACCTGCTGACCCTGCCAGCCCAAACCTCAGCAAGTCTTTCACTTTAGGTAATGCAGCAGACATGAGAGTCAGCACGTCATGCCCCACTGCTACACTTCATGTGCCCTCAAAGGGCCTGTGGATTTTATGCTTATGCTCTGTGCATGTGTGGTCGCCAAGCACGTACACATGTGTGAGCCTGTGTACTCCTGTTCAGTTTGCCTTGCTGTACAAGTGATATGTATGTTCAGTATTAAATCACACGCACACATCCGTACACTCAGGGATTAGATTGCTGCTGGTTAATACCTCCATTGCATATTATCAGAGGGGAATATATGACAGAAGAGTGAGCTTATGTAACTGTGAGTCAACTGGAACACTTGTGTACTGTACATGTTAAAACCTAATCTGTCAAAAAGGGCTTCATTCAGAACAGTAGAACTACATTTTAAAAGAAAAAAACAAACAAAAAAAGCATGCCTTTAATCTTCCTGTTTTACAGCTTTTACCAGTTTTAACAAGTAGACAAATTATACAAAATAATGCAAAAAAAAAAAACTTTTTAAATAGCCTACCATACAGATGAATTGGGTCTTGATTTATTATTCCAGATTTTACATAGCTTAGCTTGCTTTCTTTGTTTTAGGAGCTTGTTATTTTCATGATGCCTTTTTCAGACCTTTTTTTTGTGATTGTTTTTGTATCATAGATAACGTCATAGAGTTTAGACCAAAGTCTGCACTGGACATTGATGCCAGAGAGGCCAATTTCCTCCCCAGGTACCTCAACTCACTCTCCTGTATCTGGATTCTTTGGACATGTGTTCTTCGGACTCTCTCTCTCTCTCTCTTTTTTTAAATAATAATTCTTGATTTCTACACTTTATAGTAATATTAAAATCTGCAGTATGGGAATTATGCAGTGTCCAAAAATGTTAAACGAATAAAAATACTTTTTTTTTTTTTTCAATAAAAAAAGAGAAAGATAAATACATTTTATTTATCCATTTAAAAAGATAAATATTTATTTGTATGCTGGACAATTGTTGGCTGTTTTTCCACCACTACCTGTTCTAACTCACCCGTTAAAATGTTTAAATTTCCATTTTAATTTTGTAAAGAAATGTATATGTAGGCGCAATATACATTTGTCTGCAAAACTACCTCCAAGCATTTAGATGAAAGTTTTAAAATCCCCAGAAACAAATTCAGTTAAGTGTGTAGACTTTTGGTCATGTGATATGTCATGAGGGGTGTTCAATGCTAGTATGAGGATATTCAAGTGTATTTCAGTAGTTTTTGCGTCTCTGATCAAGCAGCTCAAGACCAACTCCCAGAACAAGCAACAAGGCTCGACAGACAGAAGACAAAGGCTCTGAAATTCAAGTGAGTTCAAAAAACAAAAACACAGTCATCCCAAAAATGTATTTGGACCCTTAAGCCTCACCTAAAACATTTGAAGTATAATAAGAATTTTCATTCCATTAAAACAAAGTATCAAACCAAGTGGCATCTGAATAACAATGATTCTAGCTTTACTCAAAACTAACTTTACTATTCTAAGATAAACTTGCAATGACCTTTAACAAAATAGTCCCATAGCTATAGTAACCACAGGCATATTTTATCACATCAGCAACCAGAAAGTGCCCAAATACAAATCCTAACAAACTCATTTTTGTGAAACGTTTTTGTGACCTCTCTAAATGACTGATAATGCAATACTACAAGCGTGTCCAAAAAGCCCAATCAAAACCAACAAAATGTCATGGTAGAGAGCTCTGGGCCATTAATTCTTTATGCTTTTTCAACAGTTAATCATCAGTGGTTGCAAATGTCTTTTGTTAAACCACAGCACCACCTACTGGACATATTCAACATTACAATTTGCCACTACCTCACTGACAGGATCCCTACAGTGTTCAAAAAACAAAGCTTTTAAATATCATCTTACTAAGACATATTATTGGGTATATCATGGTAAAGAGTGCTAACATATTTATATGCATTTTATCTAAGTAAGTCTGCTATACTGTTGTGAAGATCTCATTAATTTTCATTGCAATCAGAATTTAATCTTAATTTGTGGCCATATACATTTTAGTAACTAGACCGAATTGCATATTTTGGCCTCTTAATATAATTGAGGTGTTTTTCCCTCCTTTCCTTATTTTTCTGCATCATACTATACTAGCCATAAAAGCCTGATGTACTAAATATGATGCTTAACAAAAAGACATCAATGCATTTTAGATTTAGTTCAAAAGGCAATTATAGTTTTTTTTTGCATAGAAATTTTAAGGATTTGGGAAAATTGTCATTTATATTTGGTTGAGTTAAAAAAAAAAAAAATGAACAAATGTTACTTTCTTTGTCTCTCTTAGCTGAACAGTTGTCCTGTCTGAACTCAGAGGACTGGTCTCAGTTCCTGCAACAGGTGTGTGCTATTCTGGAGTCAGTAGACCGGGCTGGATCAGTCAATGCCACAGCACCACGCACTAAACTCAACCTGCTCTGTTACCTCTGCACTGTCTGTAACCACAGAGAGACGGCCACACGCCTCATACACTCCCAGCTGGTAAGACACATGTGAAACACAAGCTATTAATGTACAGTCATATGGTCATTATCACAAAAACCATGACAGGACGACCAAGTATCATGTATGCAGTCAAACCAAAATTTATTCAGACACCTTCAGCATTTCTCACATGATCACAGTTTATTCGCTGTAGTTTAGAAAATGGCAATACAATATGACAAGAACTCGCTCTGTGTGTGTGTGTGTGTATGTATGTATGTGTGTATATATATATATATATATATATATATATATATATATATATATATACACACATACAGTATTAACTGCAGTTTTGATTACTTGTTTAGACTTATTTTATTCTCATCTATTTTAGCTTACATCTTTTGCTATGATGTAACATTTGAATGTTCTTCTGTGTAATGATGTTTCACCTCTACATGAATTCCAATTTCCAAACATTAATTCATCTTCGAAACACAAATGACAATGTTTTTAATGAAACCTTAGAGATTTCTTCCCCCTTCATCCCATTAAATCATTAAACCCACCCTCATCATGTATATATTTTAAATAAGCTTCATGTATAAAAATATATTTTGTAATAAAAATAGACTAAGAGGACTTTTTAATCTGCAACCATTCCATGCAGTGCAAATCTCATTTCTTTTGCAATATTATAGAGCGGTTGAAAGTGTACAGTAGGTCAGCTAATGAGGGAAGTTGAACAATAGTGTGTCCGCTGAGGAATGAGTGTCTGCTTCTGTCCTCGCCTCTGTCTGAAAATGAGCTTCCTTGGCTTTCGTGAATGGAAACTGTAATCAGTGGGACTTAATAGATATAGAACGTGTGGAATTTCAATGCCACCTAAAGGTTCTGTATTTATACTGAAACTTTAAGCCAATGTTAATTCAGATAAGTCAAATTTCTCTTTTGGATTTGAAGTATAATTTGAATATAATTGTAGAATTTAAATTTTTGGTTTGACTTGTCACACTGAAGGGGTTTACATTGTGACAATGATCAGACAATGGTGCTGCTAATTACTGAATATATTATAAATATAAAGACTTACAATAACAATTTGAATTGAATTATAATAATCTTACCAGTAGATTCAGCCTAGCAACAATACAATCACTGGAACAATACTCTGTGTGTGTGTGTGTGTATGTATGTATGTGTGTATATATATATATATATATATATATATATATATATATATATATATACACACATACAGTATTAACTGCAGTTTTGATTACTTGTTTAGACTTATTTTATTCTCATCTATTTTAGCTTACATCTTTTGCTATGATGTAACATTTGAATGTTCTTCTGTGTAATGATGTTTCACCTCTACATGAATTCCAATTTCCAAACATTAATTCATCTTCGAAACACAAATGACAATGTTTTTAATGAAACCTTAGAGATTTCTTCCCCCTTCATCCCATTAAATCATTAAACCCACCCTCATCATGTATATATTTTAAATAAGCTTCATGTATAAAAATATATTTTGTAATAAAAATAGACTAAGAGGACTTTTTAATCTGCAACCATTCCATGCAGTGCAAATCTCATTTCTTTTGCAATATTATAGAGCGGTTGAAAGTGTACAGTAGGTCAGCTAATGAGGGAAGTTGAACAATAGTGTGTCCGCTGAGGAATGAGTGTCTGCTTCCATCCTCGCCTCTGTCTGAAAATGAGCTTCCTTGGCTTTCGTGAATGGAAACTGTAATCAGTGGGACTTAATAGATATAGAACGTGTGGAATTTCAATGGCACCTAAAGGTTCTGTATTTATACTGAAACTTTAAGCCAATGTTAATTCAGATATGTCAAATTTCTCTTTTGGATTTGAAGTATAATTTGAATATAATTGTAGAATTTAAGTACCATTTTTTGCAATAGTAGTTTGTACACCAGTACATTCCTCCTCTGGCCACCAGATGTCTCACCACTAGTAGCGTTTCCATTTATCTCTGTGGCAGTTGCTCAGGTTGAGCATTCCTACGGTGGCCGTAAAGTGCAAAGCAAATCACAATTCGGAAAACAAAATGACAAATTACAAACGCAAATGCAAGTCTAAAAAACAAAATAACAATTCAGAAAACATTATTACAAGTCAGAAAACACAATGACAAATTCAAAAACAAAATATGTCAGAAAACACAACGACAAATCAGACAAACCGGAAGAGAAAGTGCAAAGCAAATCACAATTCGGAAAACAAAATAACAAATTACAAACGCAAATGCAAGTCTAAAAAACAAAATAACAATTCAGAAAATATTATAATTCAGAAAACATTATAACAAGTCAGAAAACACAATGACAAATCAGACAAACCGGAAGAGGTAGGTATAGTTTGAGACAGCGCATTGGTTTGGGATTACTCACTGCTGACAGGACGAGATATCTGTCAATCAACATATACAGGGAAGAACCAGCCGAAGAACAGCAGAGTCGTGGTAGAAAGTTCGGAGATGGTATTAAAGTAGCTCAGTTTAAATGTATTGAATGAATTGCCCTTACTATGGAATAAAAAAATATGGTGTGTATATTTACATTTAGTTAAAAGTAGCTGTAAAACATCAGCGCCAGTGGTGCCGATGGATAAGCGCTTGCCCTTGGCTTTTTGATGTGATCGACCCGAGTTCGATCCCACAAATGTATTGTATGAATTGCCCTTACTATGGAATAAAAAAATATGGTGTGTATATTTACATTTAGTTAAAAGTAGCTGTAAAACATCAGCTCCAGTGGCGCCGATGGATAAGCGCTTGCCCTTGGCTTTTTGATGTGATCGACCCGGGTTCGATCCCACCTTTTTTTTCTCCCTTTTCAAATCTCGTATTAGCAATGGATTCTATTTACACTAAGTGAAAATAGCAGTATTTTTAGCAATATGCTATTTA